TCTAGCTGCCCCAGAGCCATCCTCTGGCTCCCCACACCCAGAACCCTTCTTTAACACCCACACTTCCCTTAGTCCCATTTTTCCCCCTCCCCATCTACCTTTTCAGCTCCCCCGTAGATTTGGCTCCAGCCCTGCACTCTGTGCCGGCATGCTTCCCTGTTCTGCAGGCTTTGAGCATTGTCTTTTAATCAATTAAGATCAATTAACCTAAAGTTACCCCCAAGCCTCAGTTCTTCAGCCCAGGCCCCTGTAGTCTACTGGTTCTAATCCCGGTCCTGGTAACTTTAACTCCCTACACTTCTACTTTCTTATCTTAACCTTTCCCCAGGTATCCCAAGTACACCAAGCACATACATGCATACATGCATACATATCATAATACCCAACTTAGGAACTCACTTGTGTGTATGTGTAGGTGGTGGTATGTGTGTAAATTAGTGCATACATATATACATACATATATAGATATCACTCTGTGTGTGTGTGTGTGGTATATGAAATAGTAATCCACATATGTGTATTGAATATGCAGGTGTTGGTAACTGGTAACTGATTCTGTCTAAATTTAGTGTGTGTAGTGTGCATGAACCTAGACTAATTATTTTGAACATGCATGTATCTGAGTTGCTAGTCTGAGTGTGTGTGTGTGTGTATATCTATATCTATATCTATAGATATAGATATATATGGCATTGTGTACATGATATATGAATTAGTGATCTGTGTCTAACTTTTGGGGTGTATAGTGTATGTGCCTGAGCTGGTAGTGTGAGTGTGTATGTCTAATAGCGGTGTATGCACCTAGTGAGTGTGTGTGCTTAATTGATTTTTATGTGTGCATGTGCAGTTGTACACAACACCCTCCTGTTTAACAGCACAATATTGAGATCCTGAGTGTTGGCCTGACCCCTCTGGGCAACAATATAGTAAATGTGACTCACAAGAAAACTTGCTATATATGCTCACACATCAAGCTGCACCTTGTCTCTGCATCTCCATTTCAGCAGTATAATGAACTACCATTTTTTCTCCAGCTCCAGCCATAAAATTCACCTAAATAACTTCTTCAAAAAATAAGTATACATTTTCTAGTTCAGAAATGATAAAGACCTAAGAAATTAATCACAAAAACTCTAAAATCACCAAAAGCAGCAGAACAAGCAATCGTATGGCCTGTCTAACATTGCATTTACCAAGTTTAAAAAGCTAGTTAATTTTTCTCTTTTTCAGTTGCTCTTTTAAGAGTTTTGTAAATAGGAGTTAGGGCTAATATTAGAAAAGAAATGTAAAGATGTCATTTTAAATGGGCCACAAGCAGTTTAAAATGTGACTACTTGATATTTAATACTAACACAGTGCTTTTCATCCTCAAAGCACTTTACAATATTAACCTTTTGTTCTTACAGCGACTCAGTGACCCAATATATTACACTGACTCCATTGTAAGGTAGAATAAGGCCCCTGGGAAGTAGGTTAGTAAAGTATTATCCAGGAACAGCCAGAGCTGCATAGATCCAGTGGCATGTTCCAACCAAACAAAATCACAGAAGCTTTAACAGTACTTACCCATGATTTTTCCCCCACAGAGAAATATGCTTCTTTTAATAGAACATCTTTCCAATAATTGATTCTGCATTACTGAGCACCCTGTTGGAATGGTAAAACTGAATTATAAAGTACAGTGAAAGATTCAACCTCCAGACAGTTTCCTTGTCTAAATCTTTTTTTTTCCTTTAATGTGTGATTTTAGGAAGGTTACCCAAGGAAAGAACAGCTCACTAATCTTGTTTGCCAGCATCATTACTGCCCTGGCCTTTTCATTGTAATCATGACAATGGAAATATTATAGGAAAAAGAACACACCTTGTGAACAACTGTCTCCAGCATTTACAGAAGCCAGTCAACAAGGATCATTTGACCCCTCTTAACATTGCCACTGCACTGCATGCCATGCTACATAACCACACCATCAGCAACTTGCTCCAAATCCCCTAAAATTAAATCTCCAGTCCCCCAAATGGAATCTACTGGAGGCAGGAATGAATTCAATCATAAAATAGAATCAAACTGTCCCATAGGCTGCTTGATAAATTTATATCGTTAGTAGTGTTTTGGCAGATAGAAATATTAAACACTTGAACCTTATTCTGATTATTCCATCAGAGACACAGCAAATACCTCTGGTTCAATTTTATTAGGCAAGTAGGTGGAGGCAAAATGTGAATCGCAACAAAAGGCTATGTTCCAAGCTTCATCAATATTAAATATAGTATACAGTTAAAATCTAACCCTAACTTCTAGATCAGCGGTTCTCCTTTCTTAAACCTTTTATAAACTCAAGGCACTCCTCAGAAAATGCCAGTCTTAGCTTTCACTTGCTTTTTGACTACAGAAAAATAATAGAGAAAAGGACTCAAAAAGACCACAACAGGGCAGAAAGTTTTTAACTTTATGAATTCATATTTGAAATCTAAATTTATCTTTTGAATTATATTTGCACACCCAACACTGATGATATTGTGTGGCACCCCACATCTCTCTTGAAAGGACCTCAAGGCACCCCAGGTTACTACAAAACCCTGGTTGAGAATCACTGGTCTAGATAAATCCTGTTAACTGTGTTGCAACAGTTATAAAAATCATTTCAAAAAATACAATTATTTATAGCCTGGGTGGAATGGTATTTATTTGGTTAGTTTAATAAATAAAAGGGTCACTATAGGCATTGTTTAACTCTTTAAAAACTTTATGACCAGCTGGGTTTTGCTAATTGTTATACTATATGGGCTATAAACACCTAGCACTTGATATGACATAGGAGCAGTAGAAATCAGAGCCTCCTGCTTTAAAAGCACTTAATATTACCACTTAGCTTATAATAAATTTTTTTAAAGAGTCTCCATTAGATGTTAGGGCCCATGGGGCATAACTTAGCATTACAGTTCAATCCAAGAAAAGGTATTAGGGGACATACTAGTAAATGGATGATGATGTTCTCATTCTAAAATAACCTTAACCAAAAATCACTGTAACGAATTATAATTTGTCACATTGTTTCCTTATATTTACTGTAGCAGTACCTAGATAGAAATTTAAACATAACATTTCAAAGTCTGTAGAAATCGATCGAGCGTAAACTTTTGTATAGTCCCTAATTCCTTCACAAGAAAAACCTCACATACCATTTAAACTATGGGACTAACATCCTTAGGTCACAAAAAGTCCCTAAAGTGAGAAGAAATAAGGAAAGTTTGGAAATAGAGAATAACATTTCTTTAGTGAAAAAAGTAAAAGTGAATTATGTTCTATACTAAGTTGTAGCTTCAAGGGAAATTTTTGTTTTCAGCATCAAACTATTAGTCTAATGGAAAGATTGTCTGAGAACAAAGGTCAAGCCGTAGCTTTACCCAAGAAGAAACTACACTCCACTAAGCCAAAATTCATGGAAAACATAGTGAGGTTGGCAATAGGAACTGGATTACAGGGTTGACCCAAGATCAGCATTTAATCCATTTGTTTTGCCACATACTTCATATCTGTGCACCCTATCCCTGTATCCCCATCTAGAGTATCACAGGCAATTGTTCTACTATCCCTGAATCAAACAGAATATGAGTTTTAAGTATTACGTGTGCTAATTCTGAGAAGAAAATGCACAAGGGACTCAAAGAACTGGGCTTAATATTAGGTAAAAATATCAAGAGCAAAGTTACACTTTTTATTTGAAGAGTACTACTGAATTTAGATGGCTGCAAATTCCTCTGCATCTTATTTTGCTTTTTGCAGGCACTATATTAAAATGAAGAACACTATCCTTGGCAAACTTGGCTCTCTCTCAATGTCCCACAGAGAGGATTATCTCCAAAAACCACTCTGGGAATGGAAGGAGAAAGGCAATTGTGCAGGGGCTGCAAATTAAAGTTAATTTGAAAGTGTTTGTGTGTCCATTTTTCTTCAGCTTGCTTGAAACAATTTAACTGCTGCATAAAACTGAGCCAAAAAATGAGTAACAAATGATGTATTCAACAAGGTTAGTCTTTTTTTTATTGAGATTGTCCACAGACAAATTTTAGGATTATCAATAGTATTAGCTATATAAACAAAACCATTTGCTTAATAACTTCTCTGAGCAAGTCTTGGACTGCAATTTAATCATAAGGAGTTTTTTGCAAATGCTCAAGATAGTAAATTCAAACCATCTTGATTAGATACACAACATTATCTATTTCTGTACCCTGATTGAGTGAATGTAACTGGCAAAATCAGGCTTCCCATGTAAATGACAACTTGAAAAATCACCTGCAATCACCTGTCTTCATATTTCCTTAAATAAATATTCCTTTTAGCACATCCATTCATTAGATTACTGCATTTACTCACAGGCAGGCACAGGGGGGCAAAGGATGAGGGGCCAGGCAATGGGGACAGGCAGCAGGGGGGCAGACAAGCATGGGAACAGGGGGGCCAAGGGGCAGGTGGGGGCCAGGTACCAGGGCAGGGGGGATTAGTGGCAGGGGGGAGAAGCAGCACAGAGGCAAGGTCAGGGAGACACACAGAGGAGGCAAGAGGTAGTGCCATTCCTTTCTCTACAACAGCTGTTGAGCAGGACAAATTTAAGATAACCCTACACTAATTAGATTCTATACATGGACAATTATTAAAAAATTATAATTTTCTGTATACAGTATTCAATTATTGGGGGAGGTCATCTTAAATTTAAAGTTTTCTTGGATTAGGGTAAATGTGGTATTAGAGGCACCCAGACACAGGAGTGCAGCCTCACCTTGAGTGCATTTGTTTCAAAATTCAAACAAATATTCACAAATTGCCTCTGTATTTAATGACATAGTTCTCAGATACTGATTTCTGGGGAAACTTCAGATTCAGCTCATTTTAAGCCAGGCAAGCTGGGCACTGAGCAAACAGCACCCTACTTAGGGCTTAATATTTGTACCTTAAATCATAAGGTTTATACATCATTGAGAAATAAATTCTCAGTCAGAAATAATTACTAATCCGTTTCCTTTTACTGTTCTTTGCTACCTAGATGAAACACAAAGCCACAGGAATGTCTCATTTTGCACCTATCACACTAAAGGCAGCTACAACAATATTAAACACTGTCCAGCTATTGTTTCCATGTAAGAAGTTGCAGTAGTTTCTAAAGACATGTTATGTGAATTAAACGAAATGTGGAGCTGAGTGAAGGAGAACATCCAGGAGAAAATATCTCTATTAAGTTGTCACTCACAAAACTAGTTACTTTGAGAATTCCAGATACAGATATGCCAGGCACAAAGTCTTTGCAAATTAACTGAACAAATAAAACAACAATACTGCACTTCCCATTCATAAATAACATTATATTTCTTATAAATATAAAAATACATTAAAATAATGTTCTCTATGGGTTCTACTTCAAGAAACTCAAGGACAATGATGTATTGGATTTTGTTCTTTGAATCTACTCACCTGCTCAAATACCAGTGCAGTTATTGAACAGTTATTTTTAAATGGAGGTTGTCAGGCCTACAAGTTATGGAATGTTATGGTGCAATGTATTGACCAAAATGGTTATTGACACAGACACTACATCAGAGACTGATCCAATGCTGACTGAAGTTAAGGGTATATTTCCATTGACCCCATGATGTACTACTGATACAGACTGCCCACATCTGATTCTGTCATCAGTTAAATAAGTACAAAAAGTTGGGAACTGGACCAAGGCTCCCAACAGTCTTATTTCATGGACATTTCACAAGCACCACTTTATGTTTAATCAATAAGCTATCCATGCAGTCAAGGTGTTTAAACCTACAGGTTTCTTTAATACAAAGCACAGAGCAATTATACTGCTGTCATCTTTGCCTGCTTTCCTAGTTATGCATTGTATTAGTGACACTTGTAACACGTTACTCTAAAGCACATTTTGATAGCACAGAAATACATCCCTCATGCAACACAGTGTTCTATGGGGAAAGTATTTCAGTACTATCAGTTATAAATTATCAGCCTCACCTGCAAGTTTCCTGTTCATTCAACAGCATTCTTGAAAGTAAATAGCTGGACATTTTACCCCGTTGCTCAAAAACAGTGGAGTTTCAGCTAGCTCATATTAAATCTCCTATAAATGGCAAATATATGTAATGTTAAAACAAACGTTTTAGAAAATGTAGTAGTATTTCACACACCTTATATCAAAGATATGTGGTTCTTTTCTTTCATTATGTATTTGTTAATGATTTTTAAAACTCATTTCCTGATGCTTTTTAAGAGATTAGCCAGCCAAGCAGTTATCTATGCTCTAATTTCCTCAGGAAAAACAGGTTAGTTTAATCTTCTTATACTCTTAAATGACACTGTAGGGTATTTCAACAGCTTTAAATACCATCTGATCCCAAAACATTCAAGAGGTTCAGAAGATTTGCTGTAAGTTTCTGCACAATAATTTATTGGGGGGTTTTTTCATCCTAATTGAAATTTCTGTAAGTTGCACCTAGGACATCAGGGGATACTGCCTACTAACAAAAAGAAAAATAAATAAAAGAAAAGGGGGAAATACTTGGCTTAATCCAAGCAAGCAGTTTAATTTTATTGTGTTTAAGGACATACTCAATAATGTTGCTGTTACTCAGTTGATGTATGACCAGCCAGCACACCATGTGTGCAAAACATAATTTCGAGAAGCATTTGCCATGTGCAGCTACAAAAACAAATGTGAAATATAATACATTGTATAGATTCACTTCACAACACCACAAAAACATCTCAGCTGTGAAAGTTTCTTTTGCAACAATTTTCTATATTTCATCTAATATTTTCACTTTTCTGCCAGCTTGACAGGTCATCTCTCTCTTTTCATCTCTGCACTAGCTTCACTCCATTCCTATGGCAAGTTCAATTTAGCCATGACCTTTTCCCAGCCTGCATGTATGTCCTTATTTGCTTTTACACCCTCCACTCTGCTCTCACTCTGATATAATCCTGCCCATTAATTTCTTCTTCTCCCATTCCCAACTTTAGATTCCCTCTTGCTCATATTATTACAGGTATTCTCTGTGCTTTAAACACCCACCCAAGTAATATGCACTAAGCTTCATCCTTCCAGAAACCCAGGAAGATGTAATGTAGGGGTCTGCAAAGTGGGCCCTATTCGATTTGGATTCAGATTCGGCCCAAATCAGGGACAGTGATTTGATTCATTGATTTGGATCACTATCCCTGATTTGATTCAGCTGAGTCCAAATCTGAAGATTCAATGCTGATTCAGAGAATCAGCGATTCGGACACAGACACAGCTTTAAAAGTTTTTTCTACATACTTCAAGGTACCAGTGTGGCTTGTGAACCCTGCAATGCTGGGGTGGATGGAGTGTCCCACAGGAGTGTGGGGGGCCCCTCTACATGCTCAGCAGCAAACCCAGAAGCTGGGGAGCACGCAGGGGACCCCAGGTGCACCTCCCCTCCTCCGAGACCCAGGAAGCACCAGTCCTGAGCAGGGGGTGTGTGGGGGGAGGCCCTCTGAGTGCTCCCTTGGGGACCCGGAAGTGGACCAGAAGTGCTTCTTCCAGCATACAAAGGTCAAGCACTTATGTCAAGCTACAGAGCAATACAAAATTGAGTTTCTTAAGGCAATGCAAAAACTCAAGAAAATACACAAGATTAAAAGCAATAGGCAAAAAGTCTATTTGTATAACAGCATGACAGTCTCCTCCACCCCAATTTCAGTTCCCAGCCTGAGCCTTTCAGTGCCAGGGGAGAAGATGGTTCTGGAACCAGGGGAGTTCAGTGCCATAGCCAGAGAAGTTCTGGGGAAGGAGGGGAAATCTGTGTTTGTGCTCAAAGTTCCCCTAGAACCAGGTCTCCTTCTCTAGAAAGCACCTCATAGGAGGTTGAGGTTGTGAAGGCAACTGGCTCAGCTGAGTCAGCTCCTCCTGTTGTTGTGCCTCTGCCTGCTGAGGAGGTGGATAAGGCAGGATCTGCACCTGCACCCCAGAAGCAAGGGGGTAGTGTAGTGCAGGATCATTTTGAGGTGGTAGATGATCCCACTTATGCTATCTGCCTGCACTGCCAATGCAAGACCAGCTGGGGCAAGGAGATGAAAAACTTCAGCACCACAGGGATGCTGATGCATCTCAGGAGGCACCGCCCCCTTCCCCTTGCTCCTCCTCACCTGGAATGGGGAACATTCTAAAGGTGAGCCAGGTCACCCAGAGCATTGGGGAGATGCTAGCTTTGGATGGCCAGCCCTTCTCCTTTGTTAAGTGGCCAGGGTTCAGTTGGCTCATGGTGCTCATGCCCCATCATACCGCGTGCCCACATGCACCACCTTCAGCACGAAGGTGGTGCCCTCCCTGTATGAGGCATGCAGTGAGTACTTGAGGGAAGAGCTGTGCAAGACAGGTCCACAGGTGGCCTTACACTTCACCTCGGACATCTGGAGCAGCTGGGGTGGAGATCATGCCTACCTCTCCCTCACAGGGCACTGGTGCCATCAGTTAGACTGTCAGTGGGCTCTCCTTCAGGCTTAGGTGATGGATGAGTCCCGCATGGCAATGGAGATCATGGGGGCCATGAACCACATGGGGCAGGGATGGCTCATTGGGCAGGGCAAGCTCACCCACAGATTCATGGTCACCAACAACAGGGCAGATATGGTCAAGGCAGTCTGTGATGCCAACTTTGTTCTACCTAATAGTCAGGGATGCCTTGGAGAGGGACAGAGCTCCCAGTGAGGGTGCCGTCACAACCACCAGCTCATTTCAAAATGCAGGAAGGTGGCAGGCTACTTCCACTGCAGCATCAAGTGCAGCAAGATGCTGCAAAACAAACAGGCAGAGCTGAGCATCCCACAGTACAAAATCATGCAGGATGTGGAGACTTGGTGGAACTCCTCATACCTGATGCTTGAAACCCTGGACAAGCAACAGAAGGCCATCCATGTGATGGCCTTGCTTGTGGAGATTGGGATCAGCAACACCTTAACAGAGTTGAGTGGGATATCATCTCCCAGATGTTGGTGGTCCTTAAGCCATTCCTCAAGGCCACTGAAAGCCTCAGCACATACAATACCCTCCTTATCCAGGTGATGCCCATAATGAGGGAGCTTCAGAACCAAACAGAGAAATTCCAGGGGATTGATGTTCCTGGACTGGGCAAACTGCTTTCACCAGAGGTGTAGGCACTGGTGAAGCGGCTGAAGGAGGGCATCAAGAAATAGCTGGATCCGTTGAGGCCCACTTCAGCACCACAGGGATGGTGATGAATATCAAGAGATACCACCCCTTGCCCTTGCTCCTCCTCAGCCTGGCACCAGTAGAAGCATGCCCAAGGGGAACACCCCCTCTAGCTCCAAAGCCCCTGTCCCCCAGAAGCAGAGGCAGGCCACCCTGGACCAGTGGGGGAAAGGCAGACAAAAAAGGGGACACATTCCAAAGGTGAGTGAGGTCACCCAGAGCACTGGGGAGATGCTTGCTCTGGATGGCCAACCCTTCTCCTTAGTTGAGCAGCCAGGGTTCAGGCAACTCATTGCACTCATGACCCCATCGTACTGTGTGCCTGCACGCACCACCTTTAGCAGGACAGTGGTGCTCTCCCTGTATGAGGCATGCAGGGAGTATTTGAGGGAGGAGCTGCACAAGGCAGGGCTGCAGGTGGCCTTACACTTCACCTCGAACATCTGGAGAAGCCCGAGTGGAGATCACACCTACCTCTCCTCCACACAGCATTGGTATGATCAGTCAAGCCATCAGTGGGCTCTCCTTCAACCAGAGGTGATGGATGAGTCCCACATGGCAATGGAGATCATGGGGGCCATGAACCACATGGTGCAGGGATGGCTCATTGGGCAGGGCAAGCTCACCCATGGGTTTGTAGACAACAGGGCCAATATGGTCAGGGCAGTGCGTGATGCCAAATTTGTTGGCATCCACTGTGAGACACACAAGTTCCACCTTCTAGTCAGGGATGCCTTGGAGGGGAACAGGGCTGCCAATGAGGGCACCATCACAACCAGCCAGCTTATTTCAAAATGCAGAAAGGTGGTGGCCTACTTCCACTGGAGTATCAAGGGGGACAAGATGCTGTGGGACAAACAGGCAAAGCTGAGCATCCCACAGCACAAAATCATGCAGGATGTGGAGACTCGGTGGAACTCCACATACCTGATGCTAGAAAGGCTGGTCAAGCAACACAAGGCCATCCATGAGATGGCTTTCCTCAGGGAGATTGGGATCAGCGGTCCCCTTAACAAAACAGAGTGGGATACCACCTCCCAAATCTTGATGGTCCTCAAGCCCTTCCTTGAGGCCACTGAGAGCCTCGGCACTGGCAATGCCTTCCTTAGCCAAGTGATCTCCATAGTGAGAGAGCTACAGAACCAAATGGAGAAGTTCCAGGGGATCGATGCTCCCGGCTGAGGCAAGCCGCTGTCATCAGAGGTGCAGGCACTGTGAAGCGGCTGAAGGAGAGCATCAAAAAAGAGCTGAATCTGTTGCGGTCCAGTATGGTCCACATGCTGGCAGCCATGTGTGACCCAAGGGTGAAGGGGAGTGTGTGCACCACCAAAACCCTGGATCACTGGATGTAGGTCCTGGAGAACACAGGGAGGCAGAAGGACAGAGGCAGGGAGATGTGGAAGAGGGGGGACCACTGTCCTTTGCCAGCACTCCATCCACCAGCCACTCTCCTCCACAACAGGTGCTGCCAAAGGGCATGGCTTCCATGTTGGGGTCCAGAGGCATCAGCATCGGGCTGGTAGCACCAAGGCCTCAGTGGCTACCTATCTCACCAAGGAAATAGAGCCACTGCTCTGTGACCCCTTGGCCTACTGGGCAAGCCGCAGCCAGATGTGGCAGGATCTGGCCAAAGGTGTCCAGGAACACCTGTCCTGTCCACCAACCAGTGTTCTGAGTGAGAGGGTGTTCAGCATTGCTGAGGATGGTGTGACACCCCACCACACCTCCTTGGATCCTGGTTTGATGGAATAGCTCGTGTTCCTCAAGGTGAACCTCCTGTTGCTGGGGTTCTCCAAGCTCCACATGCAGATAGAGTGACTGCCACCCTCCTTACTCTGTCCACACCTATTTCCGTCTTTTATTCTTTTTAACTATTTAATGCCCTGCTCTCAGGGGGCTGCATGTCCTTGCTGAGCTCCCATGCCAGGATGAACTTGGAGGTATGGGCTAGGGCTATAGGGAAGAAGGAGACCCCAGGTCCTGGGCATGACCTAAAACTGTACCTTTCCAGGGTCAGGAGGCCTGGTGGGACTGCCAGTGGTGTAGCAGCCCTCAAGAAATGCCAGGACCGAAGACATCCTTGATGAAAGGCGGGTAGGAGGCATGTTGTAGCCTCCAGTCACCACACGCACACACAGTCCTGGCTAGGGAAAGCCCAGACCTGTAAGATCTTTGAGAGGCCTGAGGCTTGCTGGTTGCAGTGGAGCTGTGAGGCTCCAGGTGAGGTTAGCTGCCTGGAATGCAATTTGCAAGGCATGGGCTGCAGTGCAGGGAAGGTATGGAGCTGCAGAACAGATTTCACCTCTAGACATCAGGGGCCTAAATGTTTAGCAAGCTTTCAGATTTAAAATTCTTCATCAGGTTGTGGAAGCATCTGCGGTTGGTGTGTGCACTCTTCCTGGATGGAAGGAATAGTAAAGAAGCCAGAGGCTGACATGCACTGCAGGAAAGAAAGCCAGTCAGTGAAAATGTAAACTGAAGTGTCAGAGGTCGAGGGACAGGCTGGGGTGGGGGTGCTAGGGGGATGTAGCAGGAAAAATTAGAGAGGTACCTGGGGAGTCAGATGTCAGGCAAGTTATAGTGTGTCATAAATCCAATGTCTATATTGAGTCAATGAGTTTCTGCATCTAGAAGGTTGATGAAGTGAAGTTCATAGGCTCATCTGTGAAAAGTGGTTTGTAAATTCCATTTGAGGATCAGGCCTGAGAGATTGGAGACAGAGTGGCTTTCTTGTGAGAAACTAATCTCCTGAGCACACTGAAGTTAGCCTTTCTAAAGTCTAGCACTTCACCCATGCTGGTTAGTTTACCCACCCTTCGCCAGATAGTGGATTCAATCAATCAATGGTCACTATCCCCTAGGTTACCTTGTACCTCCAGATTCTCCACCAGGTCATCCCCTGTAGCTAACACCAAGTCTAGCAAGGCATTTCCCCTAGTAGGATCATATACCTACTAGGGAAAGAGGGAGGAACCATAAAACTATAGGCCAGTCTCACCTCTATCCTTAGGAAAACTCTGGAAAATATCATTAAGAATAACATTTGTGGGAGCCCAGCAAGGGAAATAACACTGAAAGAAAATCATCACGGGTTCATTGCAAGTAGATCCTGCCTGACTAACTTTGTTTCTTTTTTATGACCGGGTCACAAAATGCTGAGACACAGGAGTTGAGGTAGCTATCATCTACCTAGACTTTAAGAAGGCCTTCAATATGGTATCTCATTCTGTTCTCGTAAATAAACTGACAGGCTGTGATGTAGATGATTACATGGTCAGGTGGGTCGCAAATTGGCTTAGAGGCCGCACCCAGAGTGTGGTGGTGGACAGGTTGATATCGACCTGGAAAGATGTGGGCAGTGGAGTCCTTGGACACATCCTTGGACCAGTGCTATTCAATGTCTTCATCAGTGACTTAGACGAGGGCAGGGAGAGTACTCTGTCCAAGTTCACAGATGATACCAAATTATGGGACAAAGTTAACACACCAGAAGGTAGGGAGTGAACTCAGGCAGATCTGGACATGTTGGAAAAATGGGCAGAACAAAATAAGATGTTCAAAGACAAGTGCAAAATGCTGCACCTGGGCAAAAAGAACCACCAGCACACTTTACAGGCTAGTACAGTAGCACAACAGTAGAAAGGGATCTTGCAGTCATAGATGACTCCAAGATGAACATGAGTCATCAATGTGACGAAGTAATCAACAAGGCTAACTGCATTTTATCATGCATTAGCAGATGCATGACTAATAGGTCTGGGTAGGTGATGCTTCCCCTCTATGCAGCACTGGTCAGGCCGCAGTTGGAGTACTGCATCCAGTTTTGGGTGCCACACTTCAAGAGGGATGCGGAGAATCTTGAGAGGGTTCAGAGAAGGGCCACTCATCTGATCAGAGGCCTGCAGGCAAGGCCCTATGAGGAGAGACTGAGGGGCCTATATTTCTTCAGCCTTCCAAAGAGAAGGCTGAGAGGTAATCTTGTGGTTGCCTATAAATTCATCAGGGGAGGACAGCAGAGAATAGGAAATGCTCTATTTACTAGGGCACCTCCTGGAGTAACGAGGAACAATGGCCACAAATTGATGGACAGCAGATTTAAGTTTGCCATTAGAAAAAACTTCTTCACAGTAAGGGTTGCCAGAATTTAGCATGGGCTTCCAGGGGAGGTGGTGCTCTCCCCTACTCTGGGGGTCTTCAAAGGGAGACTGGACAAGCACCTAGCTGGGGTTGTTCTTTCCTGCCCAGGGCAGGGGGTTGGACTCGATGACCTACTGAGGTCCCTTCCAACCCTAAGATCTAGGAATCTATGAATCTTCTGTCATTTATATTAAAAACCACCCTAGCATTGTGTTTGCAGGAGGAGCAGGTTTCTTGCTTCCTTAGGCTCTTGCATCTGCAAAATTTGTTTCCTGGCTGGCAAAAGCAGAGAACTGCTAAGACAAAGGTCACTGAATTTCTTGATGGTGGGACAAAAACTGCCTTGCCCTGCCCATTCATAATTTCATTTAATATAGGCAGCTGTCCATCTCCATTTATTTAAATTGATTTGGAATATGAATGTTTAATCTACAGTGTTCATTTAAACTAATGTCCACTAAAGCGGCTTATGTGATTTTTAATCTAGCTTTCCATATATTAGTTTGTAGAATGGTCATTCTGAAGAAAACTATACAAGGATCTAGGGCTAAAGCTCCACTGGAAAAAAATGCCATCTCTAGGTTGTAGCCACAATACATAAAATTGTCTCCGGCAACAGATGACTCCTGATGCATCATCTACTGCTTGAACATTGCACCAACTACTGAGCATTTCTACAAGCCATTTAAAAGGCAGTATGCACAAAAGCTTTGTGAGCAAAACTCAGACAAACCTGGAATAGAAAGCATTTAACAAAATTAATTTGACCAAGTGAACCAGAAAATGAAAAGGTCTATAAGTCTCTTTCAGGAATTCAAAGAGATAGATTCAATTTACAAGAAAAGCTTAGTAATTATTTTTTTTTCCATGTCCTGAGTCTAGTTATCCATGATGATAATAAAGAAATAATTGTGAATAAAGTTAGAAGAAGATAGGGAATGAACACTGGAAGCTGTTACCAAACCCTCCCCCCCATACCAAGGCTGACTCCGATTATGTTGTCTCATTATGTAGCAGATTTCGCTCAGTGCCTCAATTACTCCATCTGTAAATCAGAGATAATCATGCTTACTGCTTTAGTAAAATGCTTTGAAATCTACTGAAAAGCATTACAAAGGAGCTACATAATGAAAATACTTTATAATGATATACATGTAAGAGCTGCAAGGCTCACCTGGCTACGAGCTGAGCTGTGCTTATGATCTCTGCATGAAAATGGCAGCAGAAAAGTTTGCAAAGGGTGCAGTACCTTTTCCAAACAGAGGGTATGCTGTGCACAATGCATGTTTTTTTATTGGAAGGTTTGAATTGTGACCAAAGCCCTCATTGCAAACCACAGGCTCTGATTGGCTACTATGGAGC